ATCATCAAAGACCCCAGTCACCCATCACATGGACTCTTCATCCTCCTGCCCTCTGGGAGGCGCTACAGGAGCCTCCGGACTAAGACCACCAGGTACCGAAACAGCTTCTTCCCCACAGCTGTCAGACTCCTGAACCCTGCCTCCTGACATCTGAACCACATTAAACTCATGGACTGAACATACAAACAACCACCTATAACTGAACACACACACAATGGTCAAAAACAAACAAATGGACAACTGTACCCTCCTACACACAATAATAACATGGAGTGAACCACCACTCACAACCACTAGCACTTTATATAGCCTCAGTAGAAATGATCCACATAATTCACTTAACTGCACTACTGTAAATGCTGTATAGACAATCATACTGTACAATACGATGATTATAATTCTACAACTGTTTACAACTGTTTATAACTTACATAGTTCATATTTCATTTCTGTATAGCTTTTTATTTCATATTTCTGTATAGTTTTCATATTTATATCCTGTTCATAGCCTGTACATACTTATAGTTATAACATATTCACACCATACCTTCATACCGTGTACATTATAACATACCCATAATAGACCCATATTTTGTACCCTCATACCTATAACAGACCCATTTCTGTAATATATCTATATTATGGTTAAAGCACTTCTGGATGGATGCAAACTGCATTTCGTTGCCTTGTACTTGTGACATGTGCAATGACAATAAAGTTGAATTCTATTCTATTCTAATTCTAAACCTTGAATCAGATGGGCTACAGCACCAGAAGACCACACTAACATTTCTGTCAGCTAAGAACAGGAAACTGAGGCTACTATTTGGATGGACCCACCAAAATTAGACAGCAGAATGTTAGAAAAACGTTTCCTGGACTGATAATTCTTGATTTCTGCTGTGATATTTGGGTGGTAGGTACAAAATTTGTTGTAAACAAAATGGAAGCATGGATCCATCCTGCTTTATATTGATCCAAGATGGATGATCACAGCGTACACATCTTCTAATGGCTCCTCACAGCAAGATATTGTGTCATGCCACAAAGCTCAAATCATCTCAAACTGGTTTCCTGAACATGACAGAGAGTTCACAGTGCACAGATGGCCTCCACAGTCACCAGATCTCAATCCAATTAATGGATTTTCAACTGACAAATCTGCAGCAACTACTTGATGCTAGCAAGTCAACATGGACCAAAATCTCTGAGGAATGTTTCCAGCACTTTTTTGAATCTATGCCACGATGAATTAACGTAGGTCTGAAGACAAAAGGGGGCCCGACCCAGTACTAGCAATTTGTACCTAAAAAAGTGTCCAGTGCTACAGCTGTTTCAGAAACATTTCATGCCATTTGGCTGTAAGAACTGTCAATTAATTTACAACTATTTTTGCATGATTTAAACTTGCAACTTTCACAAGAAAAAGTATTATGTGTATGCAGAAAGTGCACAGAGATACATTTTTAGGCTCTGATCTTGTTAGTCGTCACTCCACAAAAGCAAACCTCCACTGCCTGTGGAGGATGTTGGGCTTACAGCACACTACAGAATCAAGGAGTACCTTTAAAGATACACGTGTGCCAAAAGATAAAGTGCTGATCTTTAAGGAAATAAAATATGGTCTGCAAGCACAGAGCTTAAAGAACAAGAAATGATAACCTCCTGTACCAACATTTGCATTTACTTCAGTTCATTACATCTTAAAATGCTATCACGTGTTATTAGGGCTGTTCGATATAACAATATATATCGGATGACGATATAAAAACGTCTATCGTTTCATTTTATGCTATCGTTTGTTTCGCGTTGTCGCAAAATAAACTGTTTACGGCAATATTTTTTCATTATTTTGATGGTCACTGTAGTGGCTATATTAATTTCTTAAAGTTCTCTCTTTCTCTTATATTTAATATAACCACACTATAGACAGACAAGCGTTTGTTTTTATGCGTTGTCGTTAGCAACAACGACGGTAAAAACACCGTGTGTCCGCTTGTTCCACATAAACCTTTCACAATAAAGCTCAAGATCCTGTTGAGACTTTTCAAAATAAACTGAATCACTGAAAGAGTATGCAGAGTGTTTACGAATGAGAAGCAAAAATGAGCCGTCAGTTGCTAAAAAATAAACCTTAGACTCAAACGTTAGAACAGGCTTTTCCCCGCAGCACGCCATGCAATAAATACTCACAAAGAAAACGGCGGCCGTTACAACTTATGTCTAAAAATGTATCGTTTCGTGCATCGGTTAAAACACTCGACTCCAGGTACGCGACGCCCAGCTGGAAACATTTCACGCAAGTCGAGCTGCCCGAGAGTCACAGATTTTACAAAAAATGCTACATTTTTGTGATTTATATCGTTATCGGACGATAGATGTCTTAATGTCGGGATATGAGATTTTGGACATATCGCACAGCCCTATACTAAATGCCATGTCATCCCAGTCATTCTAGCATCTTTCCTGGGTGAACATTCTTTATAGTCAAAACACATGTTAATGCTATCTCAGGCAGATTTTTTTTTTTAAGAAAAGAAAAAAGAAAACTTGATTTTTAATGAAGTCAACATTAAAAACAGAAGAATCAATCAGAGTGATGTGCAAGTAAAAAAAAAAAACAAAAAACATTTGTTTGATGAAGAAAAATGCTGCCCAAGTAAAATGTGATTCTATGGAGGGCTTCTCATCTTTCTTTCAAAGATGAAGACAAGAAGCAGTGTGACCCTTTAACCTGCCAGCTCTTTCACACAGAAAAGCTGAACAAGGGGCTGGTTTCCTTGTCGTGAATTCAAAAGCTCCCATTTCCTTCACAGTGGCAAATGACAGATGTTAACTTCAAAGCACCGTGCCCCTGCTCAGAATAAAACAAGTAGACTGAAAGATGGGGAAACCATTTAGCATGGCAGTAGCACCTACACCCTCCAGCCTATTTATTCTCTCCTTAGCGCTCCATCATCTTTTCTTGTATTTCTTTTAAAATTATCAGTCACTAGACATTTGAAAGAGTTTGTTTTGAATTTTTAATTATATTATTGTATTAATGCAGTAATGTATTTAAATGAAAATTTTAAAATGACTCAAACCTGGATAAAATTATAATCTCCAAGCTGCCCCTTACTGCATGTGATATTTTTGTACTAATTGATACATTTTGCTTATTTAAACACTTTCTTTGTATTTCCATCAGATCCATTCAATTCCATTCAAAGTCCTGTCTTTTGAGCTGCTGTTGTGGTTTGCCGTCTTAAATGAGAAACGTAGCATCTCCTTCAGTAACACTAGAAAAGCAATGAGCAGAGCAGGAGACCTGGAGGTCACGCTCACTGGGTGAAGCCCACATCTCTCAGCTGCTTCTAATTAGGCCTGATTTGTTAAAGGCACACACCTGATAAATGCCTGTGAATGTCACTCACAATTTCAGGTGGCTCACTGGTGGAGCAAAATTTGAGTTGCCAGATTCTGTAGCACGCAGGTGCTCCTTTGAAAGCTGTCTGTTATCACTGGACGTTATCTGAGTAGCCATGTCAGAGATTAAGTCGTGGTCGTTTTGGAGGGCAGTTCTGGCGGAGTTCTTGGGAATGATCATCTTTATTTTCATGGGCCTCTCTGCTGCAGTAGGAGATCCAAATGATTTCAACCTTGATCGTGAGATCAAAGTGGCATTTGCCTTCGGCCTGGCCATCGCCACGCTAGCCGAGTGCATAGGTCACATTAGCGGTGCACACCTGAATCCTGCCGTCACCCTGGGCCTGGTGACCAGCTGTCGTATAAGTATTCTCAGAGCCCTCTTCTACATGTTGGCTCAGATGTTGGGGGCAGTGGTTGGCAGTGCCATTGTGTATGGTATCAGGGCAGAACATGTTGATTCACTTGGAGTTAATGAGGTAAGGTGGAGTCCATGATTTTCCTAAATAATATTAGCCTTAAATGATATTTGCTACTTGGACTAAGTGGCATTCAAAGAATTGCCTTCAGCCTTGCTCGAGTGACAATTTTAACTCTTCAGGTCTGTTTGTAGTCTTAATGTCACATTTTAACTGTTTGTAGCAGTCATGCGAAATGATGAGCATCATGCTTAAAATAATGGAAGCACTGTAGGGTATAAAAATCCTCTAATCCCATTGGTATTATCATTTCTAGCTAAATGGTATCAGCCCAGCTCAAGGTTTTGGCATGGAGTTCATGCTCACTCTGCAGCTGGTTCTGTGCTTGGTGGCACTCCATGACAAAAGACGTGACATTGGCGGATTTGCACCTCTGGCATATGGCTTCTCTGTAACGCTTGGACATCTTGCTGGGGTGAGTACATGAAAACATTCATTTATTTCCCATGTCATTAATTTGGCAGATGGTTTCTCCATCTTGCAGAAGCCAACACAATAGATTGGCTCAGAGTGAATTGGCTGTACATCAGCCTTTCATGTAATCAGCTGATGTACAGCCAGGCAGGCAAGTGGTGTTTTCCTCTATGGGTTGCAGATCTCCTACACGGGATGTGGGATCAATCCAGCTCGATCCTTTGGACCTGCAGTTATACAGAAGGCGTTCAATGATCACTGGGTATGTATTGGTGACACACGAGCTGAAAATGTGACCTTTTTCTAAGTCACTGGGCTTACAAGTCATTCAGATTGTAACTGATGTGGTTTCTTTGGTTTTTCAGGTGTACTGGGCTGGACCGATGAGTGCTGGAGTGGTGGCAGCGCTTCTGTATAATTATGTGCTGGCACCCAGTGACGAGAGCTTCAAAGAAAAAACTAAAATCTTGCTCTGCTGGGCCCCGGAACAGGAACAGGAACGTGAAACAGAGCCCCTGCTGGAGGATGTTGTAGAATAATCAAAGGAGCCAGTCTGAAAACAAATTCTGCTATATCAAATAAAAAGAAAAGCTACACTTGTCTTTCTGGTGTTACATGAAATCTTGCACAGCACAACATCTTCCTGTTTTGTCATTTCCCCTCCCCTCTCCACAAACTATAAATAGTGACGCATATACATGTTTTAACAGATTCTTAAGGGGTAAAGATGACAGAAGTAAAGAGTTGGGCATTTTGGAGGGCTGTGGCTGCAGAGTTTGTTGGTATGTTACTGTTCATACTTATTGGCCTATCCTCTATTGTTGGAATAGGTCTGGGCAATGATAAAAATCAGATGATTGCTCAGGAAATAAAGGTCTCGTTGGCCTTTGCACTAGCCATTGCCACACTGGCTCAGAGTTTGGGGCACATCAGTGGAGCACACTTGAACCCTGCGGTCACCCTGGGCCTCCTGGTCAACTGCCAGATCAGTGCACTCAGATGTGCGTTCTACATCCTCGCTCAAATGCTTGGGGCAATTGCAGCCAGCGCTGTTGTGAATGGATATAAGCCTGGAGAGTCTCTTGGTGTTAATGCGGTAAGAGGTTGCACTCGTCGTTTTGGTTTTCACACAACATAAACCAGCACATTCAGTCTAATCAAGCCTAACTCTAGTTGGACTAATGGGCAGTAATTGTCTTTTGCAGCTAAATGTCAGTGTAGGAGCAGGTTTTGCCATCGAATTCTTTGCCACCCTTCAGCTGGTTCTGTGTATCATAGCAGTGACTGACAAGCGAAGGACTGATGTTACAGGCTCTGCACCCTTGGCTATTGGGCTGTCGGTGGGACTTGGGCATTTAACAGCTGTAAGTGAATCGCAATCAAAATCTGTATGAATTTTTATATGAGTAGCAGTCAGCTGATTGCAATCCATCCTCCTGAAATCTGTCATCTTAGAAGGATCAGGCACATGTGCATTCATTTTATATAAAACTGCTCAGAGCAGAGCATTAAAGGGTATTATTTATTATCAAGTTGAGGGTGAATAAATCGCTAAATAGCAACTGTTTGTCAAAGCATGCCTGAACCTTTTTGCACTATTTAAGCATCTTGATCATTTTTAAAGCAGCTTTGTTGTTGTAAATCAAATATCCTGTACAGTTAGCGTTGGTGGGTGTCACAGTTTCTCTCAATTTACGATTCAAGATTTTCCCTACACTATGTTACCCAATTCTGCAGAGTATTTCTATGTGCGTCAGGGTGGTGTGGCAGGGGTTCGGCAAATCACAGTTTCAAAGGCGGCTACACAAGTGTCACATTGAGTCGAACACAAGTCAGCAACATATGTCGACTTTAATAAAAGTCTGCCAATAACCGTTTTAAATAGTGTTTGCCTGGAAACATAACAGATGCAGATAAACAAGTCAGCGCCTTGGTTTTTGGTGCAAAAAGTAGTTCAATGAAGCTTCTTGGGCTGTTAACAGTTTTCAATATCTTTGTGATTTAATACACAGTTTTTAAAAAAAAGTTTATTGCGGTAAATCCGGCACATCTAAAACTCATTTTCTGTAGAGCTACTGCATTTCTTATGCATTTTATAAAAAGATATATGCAAGATTAGCCCCCTACCATCGTCTTTGTGTATGGATAAGATATTCCCATTCTAAATTATAACAAAAATTATTCCATCACATGAGTGTATTTACTTATAAATGATATGCTTTGTTTTTACATTTACAGATAAGTTTCACTGGATGTGGCATCAACCCTGCTCGTTCCTTTGGGCCGGCTTTGATACTGGGCAAAATGAAAAACCACTGGGTAGCCGTTTATCAAAACGCCTTTTATCCAAAAAAAAGAGCAATTTTCCTTATCCATTTCATTTTGTCAAAGATAAAACTCATTTCTGCTTTCGTTCCAGGTGTACTGGCTGGCACCGATGTGTGGTGGCATAGCGGCATCTCTTATCTATGATTTCCTTCTGTATCCACAAACACGCAACTTTAGTAGTCGCATTGGCATCCTGGTTCACGGTCCACAAGAAGAATATGTGGAGATAAATGGAGAGGAAAACAATAGTCCGGGGCCAAGTCACTGGCCAAAACAGTGAACAATGTGAAATTTTAGCTTTTCTATCTGTCAGCATTTTATTTATTTTTTTACTATACTTTAAAAAGGCCATCAGTTTTATTCTTATTTTGCAGTGTGTGTCTTCACAATCGCCTGTTCTATGTGTTGTTTGAACAATGACTCCTTTAATAAAGATGCTTTTTAGTCAAGTTTCTCTGTGTATTCATATTCATACAGTTTGGTACTGGACAAATTTCAAACTGAGGTCAGTGCATCCTCATTTGTTATATGTATTCACCAGAATAACGCAGTGTATGTTTACATCCCGCTGGCCTCGTCAGTGCTTCCTTTACAATGCATTCCAATCTGTATACATAATTTAGGTTTTTGGCAACAATCCCAAAATCATCTCGTTGCACCCGTGAAACAACACAAGGATGTGGATCAGTTAATTGCACATACAAGCACGTTAAAATTCCTCGCAGCTTGATTAGATAACATGTGGCCATAATGGAGATTTCCTGTTTTGCCTGTGTCATAAGAATGTCCTTTCTCCATCTGTGCATGCGCCCCTCTCACATCCCATTTTTTATGGCTCGTAGATATTTAGTGGTCCCCACACCCTGGGCTAATCATTGAATAACCATCATATGACTTTAAACCCCACAGGTGAATGTTTCCCAACAGGAACCCCGTAATGTGGGGGCAGTCAGCCAAAGTTGTATAAATATATGCGTGAATTATTGTAAGCTTAAAATCCAGTCTGGATGACTGATGCGTTTGGATGCACATCCCCTCGTTTCTTGCTCCGTGTTGGATGATCATTAACAAAGTGTCCCTGTCCCAAATAATTTTACAATGCCATGCGAAGTGGTAAAGCACTTGGCAGGTGAAAGCCATGATGGAAAATCACTACCATGATGATTACAAGACAACATACTTAATGCAGCATAATGCATGATTTCAATAAACTCAAATGCTGGCGTCACAAGCGAAGGGGAAATAGCTACACAAGCTGCATAGACTGCAAAAGTAATTGTATTTCATTAGATTTAAATGCAAATACCAGAACAATCAGATAAAAAATATTTATCTGTATTCAGTATGTGGTCGATGGCCTTCCTCACTATAAATAGTAGTTAATACTATTCTTCTACATAATGTATACGAGAGCAACCACATTCATTTTTCGTGAAGCTTGTATCGTGCATCAGTGGAAAACTCCCTTGATGGGTTTGTCTCCTTTGTATGACATGATGGCACTTCTTCACATTTTTCTTTTTTATGGTCAAATCGCAGAGGCTAGTCACATGACCACAGCTAGTCAAAAATCTCCTTCCTTTGTGTGCTTAACCTCGGGGGTCAGAGCATTGTGTTTAGCCTCTTGTTTTGAAGTTTGTCCCCAAAAACACAGACAAAGCTCTTTTTGTTGCCCCTCAGGCATTTCTGTCTGAAAGTGTTCTGCAAATTATTTGGCTCCCATGTTGCCCCGATTATTCTTGGCATTGGCGAGCATTCAGCAGACCTCTAATTATATTTATCTAGACAAAATAAACAACAGAGACAGAATGTCTGACCTGGTTTAAACTGATTTCAGAGTGCAAAATGAATATTCAGCCCAAAAGCACCCAGAGAAAACCATCATTTTATAAAATTCCTTCAAACAATTTCAATGTGATGCCCTTCACTTGCAATACAGACATGAAATATGCAATTTGAGTGCTCAAGTAGAGTAGAAAAACACTATATAAGAACTGGTCCATTACTATTACCAATAAATGTAAAAGTGTTTATAGGTTATTAGTTTAGTCTGAGTGTGTCTTTTAAAGTAACTTTCACAAAGATCAGGAAACATTTAGAAACCTACAAATTCAAGTGTTCACAAGCTTTCTTGTCACTAACTAAGTGCTGTTCAGTTTGTGAAGCTTGTAGATTAGGTTGCCGGATTCTAATCTTCAAGCGAAGAATTTCTTACCAGTGCTTTCTGCTTTTTTGGCAAACATTCAAAAAAAAAAAAACACAGCTGTGTCAGAAAGTGGGTGTTGCTGTGAGAGGGAGTGGAAAGGGGTTGCAGTTAGATATCTGGGGAACTGTGCACAGAAGCCTGTGTGAGAAACAAGGTGCCAATGAAAACTGCAGAGGAGCACACTTCTCACTTCCCCTTTTCATGACCAGTACGACAACGCAGTGATTAAAATGATCCCTCAGCTCTTTCTACGTGACACTGCTGGCCTACATTTTCACAGCTTTTTAGTGTTTTTTCCAAACATCAGCACAACAATCGTAGAACCAGTTAACAGACATCATAACAACAGGGTTTTGTCGAAGCGAGTGGCTGGTCCCGCATCTACAGAACTCCATAAGTTTAGAGTCTTTGGCATGTAAATAGGCATGTAAGACGAGAGATCAACACAGGACACAGTGTTCATGCAACTTGAAATGAACGAAATGAAGGCAGAAGAAATTCACCAAACGCTCGCTGAATGCCCAAGGTGCAGGGGCTTGCTATAACTCTAAAACAGGGGTGGCTATTAATATTGCCCACCCCTGCTCTATTATATCATCTTTTATTGCACAAACACATTACATTAGATACACATGCATTAACCGGATGCTTATTTTTCTTTATGATATATGTAAATACAGAATAAAATCTGTCTTGTATTTTACGCCACAAAGTAATACTTAAAGCAGCTTCAATCTATGAATAAAACAATGACAGACTGGATCATTAATGACTGACATAACAGCTCACTGTTCTGTGTGACCTTTTGAACAGTAGATCATATCAACGCATTCAAGTCCCGCAGCCCAGTAGTTGCAATGTCAATTGTATGGCCACAACACACGGAAATGTTCCTTCACAAAGACACACATGCACAAAACACATCAGCATGACTGCAGTGACCTCCGTTAGGTACTCATTAACACTGAATGCCAAACCTGAACACACTGGCCTGTCCCTGACCTGAACTCTAACTACGCAGGACGTCTACAATAGAATTTTAATTTCAGTACCACCTCTATGCTTCAGGTATAGAAATTAGGGTAAAAAAACACTAAAGGGACTTTGACCAGGAGAGAGTGAATGTCAAACATATAGGCTAAGAGCACACACATATACACATGCACCTTATGGTCCGTGTATGCAAATGGAAACTGATCTTTTAAAGGGTCCAATTTAGAAATTTAAATGGATTTACAAAGTTTAAAAACTTCATTGAAGTTTTTATTATTTTATTATTTTATTTTATTATTTTCATGCACATATAAAAGTATAAAGCATGTTTGTTGTTCTTGACAAATTTATTTGAGTCATACGGAGAAAAATAATATTGTACTTTAGACCTCAAATCTCTTCATCTGATGGTTTTATGCATTTCTAGACTCACTGTGATCTGTAATGGACATGCAATAAGACATACTGTTGAATCTGAACTTATTTTATTTTATCCAACCGCTTCAACATGTTTTCTAAATAGATGGTCTAACAAATTGGAACTTTTGCTTACTTGAATTAAAGGCGCGTTGTTATGCAATTGTTTTACTGCTCTGGCCCATTTGAGATCAAATTGCCTTGACACCCCCCTGCTTTTAACTGCAACGTGGGACTAAATGGCATGAAACACTGCCACCTTCTGGACTAACTTGGGTTAACCCACATGGCTATACTGAGGGCAATCTGTGACACAAAGATTAAACACATACACCAAAAAAATGTCTTTCTATTCCAGATTCTGAGGAATCACAAAAAGTGGTTTCCACTAATCTCCATGGCATATGCACTCTTCAGATATAGTTTTCAAATAATGTTGTGCATTGGAAAAGTTGAACTCACCATCCTGCTTTTTTCCTAAACTAATACTAATGTAGACTTATTTAGACTCTTTTGTAAAGGGGCTTTGGGTTTCTTGAAAGGCAGTGTATAAATCTAAGCTATTATTTTTAATGTCTGCATACACAGTTTGAAAGTGGAGAGAATAACTGAACGTTGTTCAGTCACAGTGGGTACGGTCAGAGGTTTTGTTTGTACCATACTTGCACCCAACAATGCTACAGCAAGGCTCATGTGTTCATTAGGGTTTGCAGTGGATTTGCAAAACCCTTCAGTTCGAGCCAAAAAGATGACACATTTTCATCAGTGCAACAGCTTTTTTCATGGCTTCTTAAAGCAAAAGGGGTGCCCAGGTCGCCCAACAATCCACCAGCTGCCTAATACCACACAGAAGGACATGCACCCAGAGATGTTTCTGCATTGTGCCTAGGGCTGCCACAAACGATTATTTGGATAGTCGACTAGTCACCGATTATTTTTGCGATTAGTCGACTAATCAGATCATCATCCATTGGACGTAAAACGTACAGCTTATTGCACCAGCAGCATCTGCTCTAATATAACTATCATTAGCTTACAGCTTTAAGTGTTTAAGGTCTGTGCTAACTAAAAATAAAGACAAGATGATAGTTTATTAAATTTTAATGAAATTTGCAGATTGTTTCGGTGAAGTTTAATAAACTCCTTGCTATCTAAAATATAACAGGACACCAGAGTATATTCTGGAGCATCTCACACTTCTGATAATCAGCTGTCTGCTTGATGTTTATTTAGCTGTGTAAAAACTATAACTTTAATCTCAGCCAAACCGATTTACTCAGGAACAAATAAAATACTAAAAAAAGCCAAACAATAACATTGTTAAGTTATCTAAGTGACTTATATATCATGTTTAACCTGAGTAGCGGGTTTGAAAACAATTTGCCAGGAGTCCGGTGTTCTCACGGCTCTAGTGACCTAGCCCCCGGCTCGCTATCGAGCTAGTGGGTAACAGACGTCTCCGAAAACGTCGGAGCGCTTTTGAAAATATGTGGTGTCCTGATAAACTGAGCAGATATTTGAGGTTTACACAGCTACATTCTCGCCTGAAAATATGTTAAACGTTTATTTTGTGACCCAGAAAGAATAATAAGAGTAATATTAAAACTAACTAGCTGCCGCCATTGTTGGAAACTGAGCTGGGCTGCGCTATGAATTCTGGGACACAGCTTCTTCTTCTTCGGGGTTTAACGGCAGCTGGCATCCTTGTACATGCAGTGCTGCCATCTTCTGTTTCAGTCCGTTATTACACTCTTAAATCC